TTCAATATACCTAAAATATTGCTCAGACAAAATAATGTATGGAGTGTTTCTATGTAAATTTCTAAAGGATAATTAGACTAACAACAACAAAAAATAACTGCTGTTATTTTTATAGTACAGCTACCTCTGTATTTATTCCAGAAGACTTTTGAATAGATTTTTTTTCTATTCCTTTCTAGATGAAATATGTTGTGAAGTTAAGTACATCACAAAAATATAACTTCAAATGATAGTAATGAGAACAAAAAAGATTTTTTAAATATTTTTATCAGGGAAATTTTTATTTTAAAAAAGCAAAAATTATATAAGGGATCTGGCAAATATTATTCTCAATTATCTTATCTTAGAGATATGCTGCCCAAAATAATAAAGCTAACTTGTATTAGGACAACTTAAGAGAGTTGCTGCCCTCATTACAGGTTTATTCCTTTTATTGTTGCAAAAAAAACATGCATTTTTTTTTTCATTTTCACTTTGATTTTAGAAGAGAAGGAGACAGCTGCATGAAGTAAATTCTTTGTGAATTGCTATAAGGTGAACTGTGATTTTATTTGAATATATATAAAGAATTTAATGAAATATTTGCATATGGCTATAATAAAATTTTAATTATAAAATTTTAGGGGAGCATGGAGATAAATATTCAAAGACCATAACAATTAGTTAAAAAAAATTTTTATTTGCTTTTGTATGTTGCATGGCAGCCAATGCTAAAACAAAGTACAGAGTTATATAATAATATTTACCAGTAACGGAAAGCTTACCATTTTCACATGACTTACCTTGTCTGTATACTGAATTTTCAACTTTAGTTATTTAGGGATTATCGTTTTTTCACTTGACTTTTTTTTTAGAATATGAATGAAATCATACACACAATAAATATTTCAACCTTCCTTCTTTCAGTGGTATAGTCATTCTTTAAATGACTCTTGAGTTTAATAAGCATATCTGTGTATACTTCTATAGTACAAGCAGAGCCTTATTGATAATTGAAGAAAATGTGAGAGGCAGAAGGAGTCTTAGGAAGAGGTGCTGCTATTGATGTCCATTTCCATACCTTCAAGGATCCTCATATTTACAAGAAGCAGAGCACATGGAGTAAATGAATGATATCCCAATTTCTTTATTTGTTAGTTACTAGTCATTCTAGCTGATTTCTATACAAGAATCGGGCAATCAGAATTTAACAGAAGCATCTATAATTTTATTTTTAGCCTTTTCAGTTAAAGGAGAATCTCTTTGCAAGAATACAATCATTTATACAATTGATAAGCATGACTTTTTTCCTTTTGTCCAAAGTGAACAACAGTTTTAGTATCTTCATGGAGATAGACAGCAGAAGAATAAGTATAAAAATAATTATTATTTTCCCCAAGATGTAATTTGGAATGTGTAAAATTGACTCAACAATTATTCTGTGCACTCTAGTTTCTGCCCTAACGCCTAAAAGAGATAAGGGATTTTTTTAAGTATGAAATATTCCTCCAATTTATTAAAAGTTGGATTAACTAAATACGAAAGCCACACTATATTTGGTGAGCCTCATTAGAAATGTAATTGAGAAATGGAATTGTATTCCTTGTGACAGAATTAACTATGGGTTTTCATTCAATAAGTTGAGGGAGAAGTACTCTACAATTCTTTGTATCACATTATTAAGCCCAACATTGAAATAGTTGCCTAATTATGTTACTTTAGTTAACTGACAACTTTCTGAATTAACTGCTCACACTTTACATGTGAGCAAACTTGGGCAGAGGTAATTTAAACAGCTTGGCTAAAACCAGCCAGACAGCAAATTACAATGTAGGCATTACAATATTGGTTTATGTGACTTCAAATCTTACTGTTGTTTCTGCTAGTTTTATTTCTTTAAAATGAATAATATGTGCATAAAAATACACCATTTTTAATATTAGCTTGCAATAGTTTAGTGAAAAGTATTAAACACATGGAATATATTGGTACACATTTCCTTATCATTTACTATTTCACTATTGCAAGACATTATCTGCAGAAAGATTTTAAAATATTCTACGTTTATTTTTTGGTTTTTTTGCTTTTGTTTTGTAGTTCTGTGTGAATCCTCTTATTGCCTCCCTCCAAGTAAAATCTAATTTCTACCTGTTAAATTTTTAAAAAACAAATCTCAGTATTTTTTATAGTTGTTGATTGACCTTTATTTATTTACTTATATGTAGTGCTGAGGATGGAACCCAGGTCCTCACACTTGCTAGGCAAGAGCTCTACTGCTGAGCCACAACCCCAGCCCCTCTACCTGTTAATTTTAACAATAACATTTTTGCTGCCTGGTTATTGTCTGCAGCAGCTAGAATTACTTCTTATTTGGAGGGGCCTCTCTGGTAACAATGAGTCATTTATCTAACATTGTATAAGAAATCAACTCAAGGGCTGAAGTTGTTGATCAATGATAGAGCATTTGTTTATCACGTATCAGGCACTGGATTCTATCCTCAGCACCACATAAAAATAAATAAATAAAATAAAGTTATTATGTCCATCTACAACTATTTTTTTAAAGAAATCAACTCAAAACATATTGCCTTAAATGATTTATAATTTCTTAAACTCCTGTGGTTACATAAGAAGTATTTTTAACTGATAATTCTCTTGGTAACTCATGTAGTATTTTCTGAGTTGGCTGCAAATAGATTGTTTATGGTCTTGCATATAGCTGGAACTCTGTGGTTGTGTATTAGCTTATCCTCTCTCTTTCAAGTTGAATATCAGCAGTCAGTAGCATAACTTAAGTTCTCTCCAAGAGAGCAAAAGCATGAAAATGAGCTCCTGTAGCTTTACTGAAGAACTCACACAAAATTGGTTTGCCCAATTCTATTGGTCGGACAAATAACAGAATCCTCATGGGTTATAGATCTGGGGAGTCTCCACCTTTTGATTGAAAGATTGCAAAATACATGATTTTTAACCCACTACAGTCATTTTAATTTTATTATCACCAGAAACAGTACTAGTATCAGTAGGATTAAGAAATGTAATTTAGTGTGTCTCCAACTCTGGAGTAAAAAGGCTGTGCTTTCAAACTCCAGCATCAGTAATTCCTGTGTAAACTTGGAAAAATTACTAAATTGTTCTGCTCTTCAATTTTCTTATCTCTAAAATGGGTATGTTATTCATAGTAACCACCAATAAGACTATTACAAGGATCTAATTTACTATTATAAAGAACTTAGAATAGAACTGGCTCATTGTAAGCACCAAATTAACAAAATAAAATTTCTAAATCTAAATTTATATTTAGCAATATACTAATAAATTACTTTGAAACAACTAAGTATTTATTGCATGTATTATGCTCAAATAGATTAAACTTACCATGTCCATGTGTGTGTCATTACTTCAGATTAGCTTAAGGTCCATACTGAGAATTGATATCATGTGATTGCACATCTCTTCAATTTCCTTCTTTGCAAGTTAAGCTTCTTAATTGTGCTTTCTCCTCCACTCCTCCACAATAAGTTTTGAAATACTATCAGTTACCTGTCTTAAACTATCTTCTTTCTTTCATCCCTTGAGACTTTCATTGCCTCATAAATTAAGCATTACAATGATCTCCCTGTAAACATGACAACTTGCTCTTTGTCTTGTTTAAAATTCTCCCAAATACAAAATCTGAGACAAATAAATAGGTAACTGACAATCTACTTGGGAAATGATCAAAAACTGTATAAGGAAATGTGTTGCTGGTGTGGGAACTAGGTTGGGCTCTAGTGGGACCTTGAGAAACATAAAGGACTGTCCACAGTAAAGATGGGGAAATGTTTATAAATAACCAATATTCATGTGATCCTTTAAATACCCCTGTTCTATAATGTCTCTTATCCCAGGACTTCTGAACTATGCTTATAAAAATGCAAATTATATAGTTTGAAATTAAGGTATTTCTCTAGGAGAATTTGGGGAATTTGAGCTCATAAGATCAAACTGAATTCAAAAGTGGATTGAGAAGATACAACATATATAAACTCTGTTTCTTTTTATATTAAATTTATGAACAGATAAATCTAAATTGTGGTGCAAGATCTCAGATCAATGGTTGCTGTGGCAGGGTTAATCTTACTATAAAGGGTCATGAGGGAAGTTTTGAAGAATTTGGAAATATTCTATACCTTAAATAAGGTAATGTTTTCACAAGTGTATGCACTTGTCAATACTAGATAAACTGTATTTTAAAATCTGTGCATTTCATGGAACAAAAATCACATGTCAATAATGTTGATTCAAATATTTTCAAAGCAAAATTAATAAAAATTTTGTTTTGAGGGGTTAGAAAAAATATATTGAAATAAACCAATAACTTCAGGCTTGTGACTTGAAGCATCCATGTGAGACATCATCACACCATCCATGTGAGACACCTCTAGACCAATCAATCACCAGACAACCTGGTACCTGACCACAGATTTTGTGTGAGGTTTGCCAAAACAAGTAGAAATCTTGCACATATAAACACAGCCTTAACTACAGAATCACAGAAGATTGATCTAAATACATAACTGTTTTAAGTCACAAGTTTTTAATTGACCTGTTATATAGTTAGCATTATTGCAGTAATGATCAGAATGTCATATTAATAATATCATACAGTTTAAAAAGTTCAGGAAAAAAACACAGAAATGTAACTGAGAAGTCTTCAAATCTTAGCTGTATTATCTCTACATGTTTAATCTAGTGGTAGTTATTTCTTTCATTATATTTCAAGAAGAATTGGCATATCTAAACACCTATATCAACTAAAATGAGTAGCAGAAAAGACCAGATCTCAAAAACAAAAATTGTATTTGTGAATGATAGAGAATTGTAATCTGGGATATGTGTGCCATGATGGGAATACCCAGAGGTGAAAAAGAAGACAAAAGTAAAATGAGGAAGGTTATATAAGTTATTTTGAAATGATTATCTGTGGCTACAAGAGTCAGAGGAGTCCAACCAAGACTGAATAGGGCAGGCATCTTTACCTGTGAGTTTTGCATAATGCTGTGGTTCTTTAGGCAATGTTGTAATTTTGGCAGAGGTTTTCATGATGGTTGCTGTTATCAGACAAATATCCAAGCAGGCTCCCTCCTCCACCTTCATGGCTTTGCAATGCCATGTTTTAGGATTTGACATAAGTGACTCCATTGTGATTCTGATATGTGTCACACAAGCAACCAAAGTATTCTGTCACACAGGCACTTTATCTATTATTTCAATTTCTTCTCAACTTGTGATCATCTGTGAAACCAACTGTGTATTCGAAAAGCTTATTGGAAATGGTAAATTTATTTTTTGAAAGAGAGAAGCAAGACAGTTATAAGAGAAAGATAGAAGTACAAATGTTTCAATTGCATAAGAAATTATATTAGTTTTTTTAAAAAAATTCTCCTTTGAAAATAGCCCTCATTTTTTCAAGATATTAAATTGAAAAATAAAAGCAGTAGTATCTACATTTTTAATAATGAGATATTTGAAATCCAATGGCAATTGCAGCCAGCATTCATATAAATGTAAGAAATATATACTGGATGAAAATAAAATTGAAGATTAGATGTCTTTGAAGAATGAGTTTGTGAGTGAAACCAGATGAACAACTGCAGAACTGAAAGAAGTGAAGCAGTTACATATCATAACCTTCTCTGGTTTAAAAAGAGGAAATAAACATTCATGGTGAGTAAGTTCTTTTCTTTGTGATAAAAGCAAGTATTGCATATTGGCCCAGAATTTAAGTTCTCAGATTTCCAGTTTAATAATTATTCTTATAGATATTTTTAATGATTAATTTTATATTTTGTCATAAAAATTGGAATTCAATTTCCCTTAGTGATAAAATAACAAGTATTTAATAATCTTAAGTAATTTAAGAAAATTTAGAATGAGCTTACTTAAGAAAAAGCATCAGAAACTTTAATATCCTTTAAATTATCCCTTAATATCATAATGTTCTTCATCTTACAAATTTTGAAATAAATAAGACTTTCAATATACTTTTTCATATATAGTTTTGAATACACATATCTAAGGGGGTCAGCTTACGTATTAGGAATTTTTGCCATTTTATTTCTTTATTTAAATATTAGGTTAGTTCATTTAGAAGGAAAAACTATTTTTATCCAGTGTTAATTACACACATAAAGACAGGATTTAATATGATATACATTGGTATAAAATAATTCTGATTTAAATTTTACCTTTAATTCTTATGACTTGAGTTAATGGGGCCATTATTTTATCTATATCTAAGGTACTTTCCTTCTTCGAGATCCAATCACCCCATCATTGAAATGAATCAAATTAAATTAGATGGGAAGTTAATATGATTTTCTTAGTCAAACTGTGCTGCTATAACAGAATACCTGAGACTGGATAATTTATAAAGAAAAGCAATTTATTTCCTTCTAATTATGGAGTTTGGGAAGTCCTTAGATAAAGTGCTAGCAACTGGTGAAACATCTTGCTTTGTTATAAAATGTTGGAAGGCATCACATTAGGGAAAGAAAGAGAACAAAAAAAAGGTCTGAACTTATCTTTTCATAGGAACCTACTTCTGAAATAACTAACCCACCTGGTGATAACAGAATTATCTGTTTGAAATAGCAGAGCTCTCATGACTTTATCAACTCTTAAAGGTCCCAGCTCTTGGATTAGAGATTACATTTCTACCATATGAACTTTGGGGGACTTATTGAAATCATGATCATATACATAGACAGGTGAGACATAGTGTCACTCACTGATATTTTAATGATACTAAGAAGAAGAGAAGAACAATAGCATCTACAGCTATAGTAGGGAAAATGTAAAGATGGGACTCAGGATTCATTCTCTCTAGATTTGTAATATTTGCAATCTGTCAGCCACATGGTGGCTTTTTATTTGATTATGAAGACAGGACTCTTGTCTTTAGAAATGAGAAGAACACATTCAGGGAACAACTTTTTGAAATAAGGATTTTGGAAATGACTTATATCCAAAGTAGTACTGATCACTATTGATCAAGTAAAGTGATTTTTCCCACTGTGTTGACATTTTTACTTCAAAAAACAGTTTATTTTCCCCAGGCTCTCAAAATTAATTGATTGAGTTTTGAGCATTGTCATTCTATAAGAGAATTACTTTAGGGATGACTGCAAAAATCCTGGTTCTAAGAGAAAGGAGTTGGATTATATTCATGACACTGAGAGTTATGTGTTTCAGTCAGCTTTTTCACTGCAGCGACCAAAATCCATGACAAGAACCATTTTAAAGTAAAAAAAAAGTTTATTTTGAGACTCAAGATTTCAGAGGTCTTAGTCCGTAGACAGAGGGCTCTACTCTTCAGGGTCTGAGGTGAGGCAGACTATCAGGGCAGAAGTGTGTGCCAGAGGAAAGAACCTGGGAACATTGCATCAGGAAACAGAGAGAGAGAGAGAGTTTCAGTCTCCAAGGACAAAAATTTTTACCCCAAAGGCATGTTCCTAGTGTTTCACTTCCTCCATCTACAACCTACTTGCCTACATAACCACCTAGTTAATCTCTACCATGGATTAATGCTCTCATTAGGTTAGCTCTATCATTTCACTCTGAACTTTCTTTTTTGTTGTTGTTGTTATTAAATATTTTTTTTTAATTTTTTTATTATTAGTTGTTCAAAACATTAAAAAGCTCTTGACATATCATATTTTATACATTTGATTCAAGCAGATTATGAACTCTCATTTTAACCCCATATACATACATATTGCAGATTCACATCGGTTACACATCTACTTTTTACATACTGCCATACTAGTGTCT